TTCCACATGGTTCCTTTAAGAATTGAGCAGCTTGGTTCTTAACGTGAACTAGAATTTTAACTGAGGTTCGTTTGGCATGTGCTGAAAACACGGTAATTAGGGACGCCTTAATTGCAGAAGGACTGTGCTGCCGTAAGGAGAGACAAGCAGCTTCATGCTATGCCTTCTTTCAGACAAGAAATTTGCAAATACTGTCCTCCTAAGCAGTCACATGGGAAAGTAGCTGATAGTTCAACGTGGAGCAAGTTAAAACAGGCAGAGATGTAGTCAACAATAGAACTCTGTTTGGAAGGAGATGCTTTCATTGTGCAGGCTGTATGTAAAAGGAGAGAAAATCTGTAACAAGGAGCAGAATTTACAGAGAATCAAGCAACACAACGGATGCAGCATTTAAAATAGTGAATTATATGATACAGGTTTATTAAGTTCTTGGTTTGTAATCTACTCTATGAACACAATAGATCAAGCCATTTATCACTAGTGCTTCTCCTACTTGAAGCATTGTTTGTATGATTTTTTTTTTTGTCCTATTTTGTTCTGGTAACTGTATGACTATTTTGTGTTTTCTTTAAAATATTTCAGTTGTTATAAAGTTAGTATTAAATGGACAGAGTTTGGTTTTAACACTTAAAATCTGACTTCCGTGTTGGAGTTTTTGAATGTGTATATATATATATATATATATATTCAAAAATTAAGCACGTACAGCTGCCTGATTTGAGCTTTATCAAACCATAGTCTTTCTTCAGAGGGGAAAGATAAAGTGAGAGGTTCTTATTTTTTCTACTAAATGATTTCAGAATTTGAAGCATATATAACGTGGAACTCTAAAAGAACATCTTATGTTTGCACATGTGAAGATACATATTGCTAAATATTTTTAATTAGCTGGCATTGAGAGGGATTGGTTAAGTCAGTACACCCCCAGCAGAGTTGCTGGGTAAAGCATAATCTAAATTGGAACGTTTAGAACATAAAGAATCCTCAAATGTATCTTTGTAAACTGTCTTCTGTCTTGGGCAGGAAACTGAGGTAGGAGCTCTAATTTCTTAAAATGAGATATAGAAACCAATGTTAGTAGATGATTTAGTACTTTATATCACCCAGCTTAGAAAATAAGTTGCATTACATATACCAGAAAATTATTGCAAATACGAAAAAATTGGCACCAAGCGTGCCATCAGCATATAGTGAGCTGTGAAGGCACTGCCTTGGTTCCGCTGCCGAGCCAAGAGCAGAGCAGACATATGCCCCTTGAGCCCCTGCCAGCACTGTTAGGCAGAGAGCGAGCAGAATCACTCCTGGTACTTCCATTCATGATTTATGATAATGGTTGCTGTGGAAGACTGAGTCATTTTCGTTTATTGAGCTCGTTGTTTTGTTTATAGTTTCAGACGTGGTAGAGGGTCGTTAAATCCATTAGATGACACATATAGCACTGATAATAATAGCATAAAGATGTACCAGAAACCAATTAGAGTGAAGCCAAAGGGCACTGGGCATTCCTGTTGTTGCTGGGGCTGGGTTGTGGTCGCCACGTCTGCTTGATTGGCGGGCGAGAGGCATTTCTCTGAAGATGGAAGGGAACACCGGGGATGAGATAGAAGTCGTCAGTCCCATTTCACCAGTGGTTCTTGGTGTGAACAGCCGCTGCTGAGCTGCTGCTGTCCTCCCAGCAGCTCTTTGTTCAGGAGCCAGAGGCTGAGACGTGGACAAGAGGTGCGACTGCAGAAGTGCAGCGGGGATGCAGGGTGAAAGTGGTTTCTGGGAGGGAATCCTAGAGGTCACCAGCGTCCACGGTTCATTCGCGTTAACAAAAGACCTAGGTTTGTAGCTCCCAGGACCTTGGGAGAATTGTTTCATAATGAGCTGACAGTGATCTGGAGTTTGTGACCACACCCACTTCCTGTGGTCTGCAGGCACAGGGGGGGTGCCATGTTCAGGGTGGTAGGGATGATGCTGCCACCCTGTGGGAGCACCCATCTGGAAAGGCCACATGTGATCATCAAGGCCAGGATGTTTTTCTCTGCTCTGTGTGTAATGCAACAATTCCAGCCTCTGGGTGGTTTTTGACCTCGGGGGCGAGGTGCCTCCGTGCCACACTGGAGTACCGGGGTTTGTGTCCTGCCTCTGTCCAATTCTAGCTTCCTTCTAATGAGGCAGCAGGTAATGGCTAAAGTACCTGCCACCCTGTGGGATACCTGGGCTGAGTTCTTGGCTCCTGTTTTCCACCTGGCACAGTGCTCACTCAGGATCTCACTCCCTTGCTCTCTGCCTGTTTATGTCTGTCTGTCTCTCAAATAAATAAAAACAGCTGAGGGTTTTCATGACACTGCTTCTGAAAGTTGTAACTGGTTTCTTCACAAACCTGTACAGGAACTTTCAGTTGATGGAGTTGCTGAAGTTCAGGTGCAATGATGCAAGAGTAGAAAGTGTGCAATGATGTGAGAGGAAAGAAAGGGCTGCTTCCCCGACGAGGGGAAGGACGAAGTTACTCCCAGTGAGCTGCAGAGTACTTCCAGATTCCCACAGGGCTCTGTTTTCAGTCCTTGTAGCTAGGGTGTGAGTTGCTGGAATGGAAAATGTGTTGACTTTTTAACCAAATGTATCAAAAGAAGAACTCTGCAACTTTGTCTTTGTAGAGTGCTAAGTGGCTGGTATTTAAAAAATACAACTGTAGCACTTGGGCCTGACAGGCATCACTTGATTGTCTCCTCTGATTTGTGGGAGTTTGGTAGCAGAACACTAAGATATCAGACTGTGTTGTCTGGTCCGTTGACACTGCATATTGCTTATTCAATGGCTCCTCGCTAGCGGAGAGACCAGACCTCAGTTCCCTGGCTGCCTCAGCTAGACCAAGAGGTCAGCTCCTTGCAATCAGTTGGGAAGAAGCCTGCTGTCCCATTGGGCCCTCTGGTACTAGAAGCACAGCAATGCTGACCATACTTTATGTGTTGATGCTGGAAATAAAAACCCAAGGACTGGCTTGAAACCCCTGTAATGCCTGCTGTCTCTGGAAGACGACTTCATATAACCAGTCTCAGAAAAGACTTCTCCATACATCCTTGCTTCTTACTTAGTAGAGAAATTCTTGAAGGCCTTTTGCTAGAGCAAAGCTTACTTTAATCTCTTGTCATTCACGTGCAAAATGACTGGAGTATTGCAATGCCCTTGGACCGTCTGCTGACTGAGTGTTGGTTCCAGGAATAGGACACTGTCAGCACTAAGTAGTTTTATCTGTGAAGCCCGGTGGGTTGACGTCATTGATTGGTTCATAGTCATTTCCCATCCTCTGTCCAGCTACTATTGTGGAGCTGGGCACGTACAATTGTTACTGGAGAAATGCAGGGTTCTTGTCTTCGTGCATTAAAGAATTCAGGCATGAGACAGAGTAGTGGAAAGTAAAAAGTAGCAAAGTTTATTAAGGTAGAGACATCCACAAGAACAGATGGGCACCTCTCCAGACAGGACCTGAGAGAGAGTGCCCAGTCGCTTGGGTGGGGGGAAGGTGGGAGGTTACATGGTTGAGTGGAGAGATTACACCTGGCCAGACCAGGTAGGCAGCTCAGCAGAGAGGCAGAGGGCTGAGCACACAGTCCGGTTGAGACCGGGGGTTTTTAAGGAGATGGGTCTCTGTCCTCACACATCTCCTCCTGAAACAAAGGACTTTATGGCTGTAAATACTAAGAAGCTCCTATCTGAGTTTTCCCTTGAAGGTATCAGACAGGAGGAAGCCTAGCTGGCGCCATCCTGGGTTCAGAGGAAGGGTGAGCAGGACCCCCTAGAGAACGGGGATCCAGAGCAGGATGTTTGAAATGCAGATACTGGGCTGCATCTGGGAGATTGTGGAAGATTTGTCAGGCAAAAGGGGCGGGGACCTCCACCTGGCAGGTTATCAGGTAGAAGGGGGCAGGGCAGGATGCGAAGGCTGGGCTGCCCCTGAAACATTATCGGGATGACTTTGAGATACAGATGCGTATGCTGGATATAGACATCTTCTCTTTAGGCCTGTCATACACACATAAGCTCATATGTAACTTCCTACCTAACACAATGACTTAGAACATATAGAGCATTTATGTGTGGTGTTGGCTTTGTGCAATGATAATATAACCAAAACTCACAGATGCTGTGATTGTCCACCCTGGCAACAGGCAAACAGATGCACTCTCGTGTGCAGTCATCCTAGGTGGGTACATCTGGGGGCCCGAGGAAAGGGGTCCTTGTGCTGACCCTGATGTGCCTACTTATGAGCAGTGCAATTTGACTACTTTTAATTTCAACTACTTTTAGCTGAGTTAATCTGTGTTTTCCTTGTCCAAGGAAAAAGACAACAATTGGGATGGGCTGCTTATACTTTCTTGGCATCCTGCAAATAAGGTGTGCAGGCCCCTTGGGGTGGTGGAAGCTATGGTGGGGCTCAGAACACTAAGTCCTGGCAGTGCTGGAGGAGGAGGGGACATGGATGCTTTGGCCAGGAGCAGCCCCCTCCTGTCCGTGCCTGGGAGCCATCCACCCCACCTATGTGCCATCCATGTCTGCTCAGATTTTGCTTTCTAAAGACTTATTTATTAATTTGAAAGAATTATAGAAAGGAAGAGGCAGAGAGAGATTGTCCATCTGCTTTTTCACTCCCCAGATTTCCGTGGTGCCAGCGTTGGGCCAGACTGAAGCCAAGGTCTTCATCCAGGTCTCTCACATGGGTGACACTGTTTTCCTAGGCACAGTAGCAGGGAGTGAGTTTAGAAGTGGAGCAGCTGGGACATGACCTGGCAGCCATATGCGATGCTGGCGTCTCAGGTGGTGACTTCGCCTGCTGTATTACAATGCTGGCCCCACATCTGCTCAGATTTAAGCTGCACCGCTGTCCATGGCATCAGCAGGACCACACTGCAGTGGAAGATGGACGGTAGTGGAGTCCGCATGCGCGTTTCCACCTGCCCGTCTCTGTCACTGTGTCTCACTGTGTCCCTTACTTCTTCCTTTTTTTCCTTTCCAAGTGGAGGAAGACACGGAAGAAAGCTCTCGGTCAGGAAGAGAGTCTGTGTCCACAGCCAGCGACCAGCCGTCCCACTCCCTGGAGAGACAGACAAACGGCAACCAGGAGAGGGGTGACAAGACCGACAGGAAAAGGGATAAGACCGGGAAAGAGAAGAAAAAAGACAGAGACAAAGAAAAGGACAAAATGAAAGCCAAGAAAGGCATGCTGAAGGGCTTGGGAGACATGTTCAGGTAAGGCTGCACCGACCCAGCCCCTGCCCCCGGAGTGTTAGAAACGCTCCGTGCCACCGTCATAGACACGCTTGCCTGGGCTGCGGGCTGTGCCCTGTCGCACATGTGCCCACAGTGGACCCGCGTGTGGTTAGGTGGCACCAGACCACTGAAAGTGCCCATGTGCAGATCTGAGAACCACCTTGGAGGTCCTTGCACAGCTTCCAGTCACAGCCACTGTAGTGTCCCCTTCTTGAAGTGTCACACCTCAGACGCCTGCCAGCCCGCTGAGCTGCTGGTAGGAAAAGGAGGGAAGAGAGCAGGAGCCCCAGCGAGACAAAGGGCTGTTAACACAGTGTTTATTCTCTGTGTGGGAACAATGCTTCATTATTTAAATGCAACACAGAGCTCAAGTTAGTGGTAGCATTTAGAGGTTCATTAATAACAAGTCTAATAAAAAAAAGTTACAAATAGAGCTTCAATTAAGCTGTGTTGATTAATTTAATACTCATTGCTTCGGTCTGTGACGATGTCATTAAACATAGTCTCTGGCTGTTTCTTGACAGTTGTTTTTGTGCCCCTAAATTATATTCGAGGTTATTTAGCATGTTTTTTTTTTTTTTTAACAAATCATGCCATACAATTAAAGTGACAGGTTGTTCAGAAGTCGCCCCCAAACTCTCCCTTGAATGCCCGTCGAAGGTGGTTTGTAACAGCCAGGCATTAAATGTTAAATACGAGGATGGCTTTGTTGTTGCATAAATTAAAGCCGCACACATAGCAAGGTTGGAAATTGAAAATGGCACAGCCATTTGACTTTTCAGAAAGTAGTTATCCCGCGTCACACAGCCCCTCCTTTGGCCTGTTCTGAACTGCCAAATGTGAGCAAGCGTTTTCGTCTTCGTAGAATTTCTTCACTTGTGATGCCAGGGTTGACCTCCATAAACTCAGGGACCTACAGGTAAGTGAGGCCGGGAAGTCGGGGAATTGTGGCTGTGCGGCCCAGCAGGGGTGCTCTGAGGACATCCGGGTACAAGTGCGTGGGAGACAGAGACTCACTACAGACTCAGTGCACTCAGGGCCTGGGCTCCCAGCAGTGTCACCTTTAATTTAAATGGCATTGGATTCCCGTCGCCCAGTGCTTTGGAACACAGGGTTTCCATCAGGGGTTTCTTGTTTGTTTTTTGCTCTTCTGAATGCATTGTTTGGTCAGGTCATCTTTCTTCGTTATATTCCAAGTCCAACAGGACTCCCTGGGTGAAATTGCTTGAACTGCCACTTTGCGAGTTTCTGTGTTAGCCAGGGGGCCGTGCAGACTGACAGCTCGTCATCTAGCACCTGCATAATGCACGCCATTATGGCTGCTGCCCAGCGATTAAAAACAGGGAGCGTGGAGGACTGGCTTGTTGGCTTTCACGCATCAGCCGGCATTCCTGTGATGGATGCTGTGTGCTCTTCTTGTCATGGAACAGAAGATAAGCCGCTGCTCGTTCAGGGATCTGTTAATTATGAATCACCTTTTTCTGCAACCTGCAAGTGCAGAGCAGAGGCCTGTGGTCGAGCTTTCGGTTTGGGACCAGGAGATTGCAGAGAGTGGGGCAGTGTGTGTTGTTTCCGGGAGCCGTGATAAGCAGTGCAGTGTGGCCCTCCGCCTGCTAAGGGTGCTGCACACGCCACATGTGCTGTATCTAGCACTGCACCTACCCTGCAGGCTCTTCTGTGGCCTGTCACAGGAGCCAGCGTCGTGATAGAGTGGACCCATTTGTAAACGTCACAGGCCTGCTCGTTCTTGAGAACTGAGCTCTTGGGTTTGGGTCAGAGGCTGAGGTTTTTCTGAAAGTTAGGAAGCAGCTTCCCCCCCGCGTTTGCATTTTGCAGTTACTCCATTGTGCTTTACTGGGAGCTCTGATTCTGAGATGATGCCCACTGATTGGGCTTGTGAGGCAAGTTCAAAAGTAATTCCGTGGAAAACTGAATGAAAAGAGGTTTGTGGCAGGCGTTTGACAAGGTTGTTCAGACACCTGATCTCATACCAGAGTGCCTGGGTTTGAGTCCTGGCTCTGCTTCTGATTCAGGTTCCAGCTGAACCACACCCTGGGAGGCAGCAGGTGATGGCTCAAGTGCTGAGTGGATCTGTATGGAGCTCCTGCCTCCTGACCCTGGCCTGACCCAGCCCTGGCGGTTGTGGGCATTTGAGGAGAGAACCAGTGTATGCACGATATGCTCGCTGTCTCTACCTCTCAGATAAAATGAAGTATAAAAATAGTAAAAGTTTATATTGGTGCAAAGTTTGAAATCCATATATAGGTTATTCATAGAATGCATTTTCCATGACCTTTTGGAAGACCCATGTATGCATGGATTTCAAAATTTTTTTGTGCCCAAATAAACTTATTTTTAAACTTATCTTCTACCAGCTTTGTGACATACACGCTCTCGTGTGCTGATCACTCCTGCAGAGCTTTTCCCAGCTCCAGGCTCGGTGACGTCTGCGGCAGCTGAGACTCTGCAGTGGTTCTAGTATTGATGCCATTGAGGTCTGGAGCTGCAGTGGTTCTAGTATTGATGCCATTGAGGTCTGGAGTCCAAAGGACAGAGCCTTTCTCCCAGGAGAGCAGCACAGCCTGCGAGGCATGCCCGAGTGATGCTGTCTGCAGAGCTCAGCATCTTGTGTGTGTCCTTTGGACACGGCTGTGTTCTGTCTGGTTGTGGCCCACTGAGGATCGTGGCTTGCCAGGCGCCATCTGTGTTAGTGAATCTTGACCCCGAATCTTCCTTCCCAGCACTGTTACATGGCATTAGTATTTAGAGCACTGATGTTTTAGCTACCTTCCCTCCCTACTGAGTGGGATTGCTTGGGACGAGTATTCCCTCGACTTGATTCTTTTATTTTTAAAATTTATTTATTTTCATGTCCTTTAAAACATAGTGACAGAGGGGAGAGAGAGAGAGAGAGAGAGAGAGAGAGAGAGAGAAATCTTCCATCCACTGGTTTACTCTCGAAATGCCTACAACAGCCATGGCTGGGCTAGGCTGAGGCCAGGAGCCTGGAACTCCCTCCAGGTCTCTCACATGGGTGGATCCAAGCACTTGGGCCATCGTCTGCTGCCTCCTAGTGCATTAGCAGAGAGTAGGATTGGAAGCAGAGTAGCTGGGACCAGAACTGACACTTGAACATGAAATGTGGGCATCCCACATGGTGCCTTCACCCCTGAACCACAACACATACCCCCCATTTTTAACATAGGGAAGTGCAGTAAGACTTCAAAATTGCTTTTTCTTTCTTTCCTTACCGATTTATTTATTTGAAAGACAGAATTACTGTTGTGGGGGGAGGGGCAGAATATCTCCATCTGATGATAAACTCCCCAAATGGCTACAATGGCTGGGGCTGGGCCAGGCCAGAGCCAGGAGCCTGGAACTCAGCCTCTGAGGCTCCCACGTAGGGGGCAGGGGTCCACGCACTTGGCCATCTTCCGCTGCCTTCCCGGGTGCATTCACAGGGAGCTGGATCAGAAGTGGAGCAGCTGAAACTGGAACCTGCTCTCCCATGGGACGCTGGCATCTCAAGTGGAGGCTGAACCCGCTGCGCTGACACCAGCCCCAGCCTCTTCGTCTTTGTTTCTTTCTGAAAACAAAGATGTAATTTCCTTAGCTTTGTTGCTTTTAAATAGCTTCATCAAAGCCCATCTCTGCATGGACACATCTTGGCACAGTGAAATGTTTGCGTGTGGTAGCGCCAGTGCCAGCCTCAGGTTCAGGTAGGGGTGTGTCCCTGAGCTGCTTTTGTTTTAATTTGTGGTTCAGGTACAAGGAGGAAGGGGCAAAAGGTTAGAGATGCCAGGAGCCGGGGGAACACTTCTCTGGGTGAGTGCAGCACAGACCAGCCCTTCCCTGCGGAGGGCCTGGTTATCTGAGGCATGTCCTGCCCTGTAAAAACAAGCCCAGCTTCCACACCCACTGGCCCTGCCCCACCCCACCACACACACCGTGGCTTTTGGTTAAATCTGATGAGAGCCGGGTAGCTGGGCCTTTCAAAAACAGAGGAATCGCATGGCTCGGTGCTGGGGGATTTGCTGTCGCTGGCGCCCACAGACACATAGATTTCTATTTCACACATTGAACGGGAGGCACAGGAGTGACTGAATCATTCACACACGGCCCCAGGAAGGAGTGTTGTGAGTCACACGAATCAATTTCTCTAAATTACGGAGGATACGGAGCGCCACTGCTGTCCTGATGCATGTTTCAGTTCACAAATTTAAGTCTGTAAGAAATGAAATAGCGAACATTGAGTGTTTTGTGTCCCTATTAATTTCTCCTCGCACCTATGAGGCCCTGGCTCCTTAAATGAAATATCTTGTTGTCTTAGAAACCTGAGTGTGCCTCCAGAGCAGGTCAGTGCAGCCCATTCCCTGTGCCCAAGAGCACCGCAATTTTGAGCCTGTGTGTGTGTGTTGGCGTCTCAGGTGCTTGGCTCTTTAAATGTAAACCGCTTCAACACAGCTGAGAATCCTGCTGCTATGTGATACTGTCACTAACGAGGGACCAAGTCTCACTTTGGAAGGAGGAAGATCTGTTGTGAGTGTTTTACACGTGTTTGTTTTTGGAGCAGAGCGACAGTGTTTCCTAAGCAGTTAGTCCCATCTCTAAATTGATGTATGCAACAATACACCAGAATCCTATATTCTTAGATACTGCGAATTTAAAATCACGTGTTCCCTTTTTTGCCAGCCCTGGAGTAAGTACAATTTGATGTTGCTTTGCTGGGAAATTGGAACCGTTATCATCTCCACGGTGTGGAATTGTGTGGACTCCAGCTGACGTCTCGGACGTGACCTTGCTGAGCCTGCCTCTGGTCTATTGCATGCTGGTGTCCCTCCATGGCAGCTGCGAGTGTGGCTGGGGCAGAGCGAGAGCAAAAGCCTTGCTGTGATCCTACCATTAACATCAGATCCTCCAATTATAGTTTGCATAATTGTCTGGGATCCCACCCCCACCCCCACCCCCAGCATTTTTTCTGATGCAGTTCTGTCACAGGAGGCGGTCTTGCTCGGTGGGAGTCAGATCCACTCCCCTGTCTTCTGTGTGTAGGACATTGGCGTTTGCAGCACAGCATGAACAAGATCAAGTTTTAAATGCGGTCGGCACGCCTTGGGCTTGGAGCTGGTCACAGGCCTGCCTTGTTTGTGTGTACTAACCCAGTCTGTGCGTGTTTCTCGTTTAGCCTGGCCAAACCGAAGCCCCAGAAGAGGTGACCAGCGAGCCAGACTCAGTGGTGTCTTGAGCAGCGTATATTGCACAGTTGTTTTTTAAACAAACAATAAATTTAATTTTAAAGAATTCCCAGTGGCTGTTGATGGATTTTGTTGACGTCATCAGCGGGTTTGATGGTTTTGTCACTTCTGTATTTGTCATTCTGGAACTTTTGATTCCACGCCTGTGGTGGGGGCACATCATTAGCCTCTCTTCGTGGTGAAAAGCCATGTTCCTTGCTGCTGGTGTGATTAGAAACCACCAGTGCACGCGAAGTGGGTGTTGGAGTCTGCGTGTTCATGGCATATGCACAGCCACCCAGTGGTGTCGTGGCACTGAGTGGGAACAGGGCCATGAGTGAGTTGCAGGAAAGAAGCAGTGTAGTGGACTGGGCTGATGCAGCTGTAGTGTCGTGGGTGAGGTGTGAGCCCGTGATGACCAAATAGGCCAGTTTGTGAGGGCGTTGTGGTGAGGGTCTGTCCCCTCTAAGCATTGCAGACTTTAGACAGGAAATGGGGCTGTGAGGGAAACAAGTGTCTGGGTTCAGGGGACTGATGTACGCGTTCTTCCAGCACTAGGAAGTAGAGCTACTCGGGTAAACAGTGATGCTGAGGTGGGGGGGGCAGGGGGGGGAATGGAGAGAGAGAGACAACATGCATGTGAGAAGCATGCATGTTCTGTGAATGTCAGTGTGTCTGGGAAGAGTGTGCCGGCCTCGGTTGAACCACACAGTCCAGGGCTCGTGCAGGTGCACTGTAGAACGTCCTGCTTCAGAGAAAGCCTCTGCCTTCCAAGAAACCTAATTCATCGTCTCTGTTATCCAGACACCCGGGATCTCAGAGGAAGACTAGTTAGCTAGCTCCGCCTTCAACAGTGTTAGAATCACACCCTCACAAAAAGTAAATGGGAAGAGGGAACCCATTCAATAAAGAGTGTTACGGAGTTGGACTGCGTGCCTGTGAGAAGGATGTGACTGCTCTCACTTGGTAGCATTCCCACGCCCACCCTCACCCCACGCTGGCCAAGCACACAGCCGCCTGTGTCAAGCAGGGAGGCACAGGTAATGGTGTCTGATGGTTTGTTTCAGGACACGGCTTGGGGTTCTCTGTGCCTCTGGCTTCAGTCCAGCATGGATCCCTGTGACCAGCTCCACATGGGTAGCCTCCAGTAGCATCCTGTGCAGTCGGCTGGTGGCTTGGAGAATGCAGTTACAATAAGTACTTTCAACCCTGCCCCTAACCACGTGAATCCCCGGAGCAGTGCTTTGTAGGGAAAGAAAGAACCTCATGAGAGAGAGGTGCTGCTGCATTTTCTTTGCTCTCGCTTGCTCCCTGGACAGCAGAAGCCCAGTTATGTCCTTACACGTCCGGGGGCTTTCTTTGGCATGAATCTCCAGTGTGTGAATCCCACGGACTTCATGGATGGTCCTTTTCATTTGAAAAGAAACAGAGCTTCCTGTTCTTAACACTGGGAAATAAGTGCCAGACAGACCTATTCGCAGCAAAGACAGGTTCTAGGGGAGCTGATCCCTCTGCTTGAGGCGTGCTCCTTTTCTTGTTAGCGCCTTTTATAGAGAGAACCTCTGACACCTGCAGAGGGGACGGGGAGGCGGGAGGCCCGGGCAGGAGGCTCTCCAGGCCCTTCACTGGCTGCCGTCTTCACAATTTCTCTGCCACGGACCTGTGGCGCGGGTGTCAGCGATGACACCTGCTTCATCGTCTCTGTAAAAGCAGACCTTTCCCTAAAAGAAATTTTTGACACTTCTGAGCTGCTAAGTCAATTTCACTTCCAGGCTGGGTAGAAAATGGAATCCTTTTTTCTGCAACTGATGTGAAAATTGAAGAGCAGTGACTATTCACGTTCTAATAACCTGGGGTAAATAAGCGGCGCCGCACCGCTGCGAGGCGGCTCGGGTAATGGCATCCACCAGGACGTGTGTGGGAACAGTCTTTCTGAGCTTTCCATCTGCTGCCACCACCGCGCTGCAGCCTCTACGTTCTGTAGAAGGGATCGAGTCCTTGCTGTTCCGGAATGAGTTTCCACCCGCCACAACTTCTTACATAAATGCAACTGTTTTACCCTCATACCAGGGAGAGCCCTGAATGGGGTTCTTCTGACCTGGGTTTAATCATAGCCAGTTGAGACGCTAATGATGAAGTCTGTAGTGAAATAGCCCTGGCTCCTGTAAACCTTTCCACTTCTCTGTGTTTGTCTTTGTGTAGTTGACCCAGCCACAGTCCACACCCAGGCGAAGCCCCTGAAGCCGGCATGGCCCTCTCTCGGGCATCACTGCCTGGCTGTCTCCTCTCCCGTGTCCTTGGTGCCCATCCTTGTCCTCCAGCATGGCGTTGTTTCTTCCATCTTAGCCCCACCTCACCCCCTCCTCCCCAGCAAACTCCTTGGCCAGTCTGTGTTTGCAGTCTCTCTGTTGTTTTCTCTTCAGCTGCCTTCAGCGAACCCTTTGATCCTGCCCTGTCCAGGTCACCAGTGCCTGGAGAAGTCCACGTGCCTTGTCACCTGTCCTCTGCATCTGCCTGTGACGCTGCATATCGTGGGGACCAGTCTGCCAGCTCTGCTCCTCCCTCCTGGTCCCTGCCCTCCCTGCTCCTTTGCAGATTGTGTCCTGTGCTGTTCTGCAGGTCTTAGGGTCAAGGGCTGGCCCTGGTCCTCGCGTCTCCCCCGCCTCCTTCAGTAGCAAACGGCTCTGTGCCCAGTATGCAGTCTGCAGCTCTGCGGGTGCCTTTAGGCTGATGACTCCCTGCTTCCTGTCTCCAGCCTGGGCACTCGGAGCTGTGCACCTGCAGGGGCCGCTGTGTTCCTGACATGTTCACTGCCCCTGCCTCTCCCCCCTTTCTCAGACGATGGCGGCCGCCCTCCAGCTAGGTTAGGTCTTAATCTGGGGTAACCCTGACCCCATTTGTTCCCTGCACCCCACCTTCAGTCTGTGGAGGAGCAGAAGTCTACCTGATCTGATTCCAGCAGGGTCTGTCACCCTAGTATTTTTTGACCCCCAGCACCGTGTTCCCGCAGGGCCAAGGACGCACTTATCCCCCAGCAGAATCAGTGGCATGGGTCAAGCACAAATCACAGGGACCCTCTCTGAGTCGTCTGCAGTCGAGGCTGTTTTGGTGGCTCCCCATCCCCTCTCCTCCCACATTGGCAGTGGCCTCAGAGCCACACCCTTGTGCCTGTGGTCTCTCCTTGTCGTCATAGCCAGATGGTGCCATGCTTTGCTCTCAGCTTCAACCCCAGTGTGCTACACTTTGCCCTGGCATTCAGCCCCGCTGTAGCCTTCTGGGTCACTCGGTAAAACTGAAATCTTTTGAGTCCCCTGCTGGGCCCCTTGGGATGTGGCCCCTGTTGCCTTGGTCCTTGCTCTCTCTAGACCTGGGGTATCTTTGTCTGAGATGCCGGTGGCTTCGCTCTCATGCCTTTTTTAACATCTGGCCTTTTCCACAGCTGCATGGGGTTGAAAAATTCTAGGATGACACACCCTGCTGGAAACAGAGCAGGTGGGCTCCTGCACCCCCACACACTGAATGTGGGGTACACGGAACAAGAAGGATCAAAGACTACCCAGGTTTGGACCTAACCTACCTGGAGGGTGGCAGCCATCATCGGAGGAAGAGGGGAGTGGCAGGGGCAGAACCCAGGAAGTGTCTACGAGCTGGTCCTTGGGACTCCTCTGTAGCCAGGCTCTGCCTCTGTGCCTGGAGCCCTGTGTCTCCATCTGGCTCTGCTGGGGGTAACACCCCCTTGGGGAGCCCCACCAGCGCTCCAAAGCCCGGGTTGAGGTCCCCGATGCCTGGCCCTCTGGGTTCTCACGTGGAGGAAGTGACTTCTAGCCCCTTAGCTCCTGGGATCAGGAACACACCCCCCAGCAGGCCTGATCAGGCCTTGCCCTTACTTAGGTGCGCCCCTTGCGTTGGGGAGATGGGGGAGGACTCCCTCCCACAGGACCCCACTTCCTCTCTGAATCCTTGAGCCAGGGTCTGCCTCTGGTGCCATCCACACTGCCGGACACCGGAGGGCTGAGAGTGGCCAGCGTCAGCGGCCAGCTGTGTCTGTGTGGAGCCCTGGCTGTGGGAAGTGGGCCCGTGGTCTCTGCCCCGAGGGAGGGGACAGCCCTTCTTCATGGCCCCTGATCTGCTTGGTGTCCTTTGTTGTTGCGTTCACTTCTCTCTGCCATCGGCCCCTACCCGAGCGTTCCCGTTACCTCAGCCACACTGGGACGCTGGCCCCTACCCGAGCGTTCCCGTTACCTCAGCCATGCTGGACTTCGGCCCCTACCCAAGTGTTCCCGTTACCACAGCCACACCAGGACGCCGGCCCCTTCCTGAGCGTTCCCTGCTGGCTCAGCCACGCCAGGACGCTGGCCCCCACGTGAGCGTTCCCAGCTAGGTCAGCCACGCAGGGACAACTGCGGGCACGTGAGCATTCCTGTTACGTCGGTTTCTCTGTCTCTGCCGCTGGTGGTCGTGGACCGCAGGTGTTTACCCCATCTGTCAATGTTGTTTTCTCTGCTGCTGGCCCCCACGTGAATGTTCCCCGTTGTGGCAGAGAACTGGTGGTCATGGCCCCGTGAGCATTCTCCATTACCTCAGCACTGCGTTCTCTGCCGCTGGCGGCCACGTAAATGTTCCCTGTTAACCTCGGGCAGACATTCTCCACTGCTGGTGGCCACAGCCTTGTGTGTTCCCCTGTCAAGTCAGCACCGCTTTCTCTGCTGCTGGGCGCAACTGGCCACGTGAGTGTTCTCCGCCACTTCAGGGCCACTTTCTCTGCCGTTGGCCACCACGT